CCGCACCACTACAGTGCGTGGGATTCTTGTCACACAGCTAATTGGGCTTAACTTCATGACAAAGCACAGCTAGTACGGATTCGAGGGCCAACAGCTTTTTTTTTTTTTTTAAATGGGCCCGGCTTTGTTTTCACAATTTTGTTGGGTTTGTTGGGGGTTAGTACAGGTACGGCTCCACATTTTGCTCACCAGTGGGTCTCCGACATTGCAAATCAACATCCTCCACAATCAGCATTACAACAAAGAAACTTAAGACTTTGGCTGCTTTCCCATATGGATTAGCACAATTGTCTTAGGTACAGGCATCTTGTTTGCCTGGAACACACAAAAGGAACCCGCTGCACTCACTGGTGGGGTTGTATGGAACGGCATGGGGACAATTTAGGGGTGGGCAAGGTCGAGATCTTAGGATCTGATTTGTGGCATACGAACCCTTTAGGTAGGGGAGAGTGCGGGACTGGGATGAGGAGCTAGGCTGGAAGACATGTCACGAAGTGTGGTTTCTTGCGGTGCGGGAGGACCACTCTGAGATGGGGCTATTCCATGACGTCACCTGTTCTTACCACGTGGTGTCGTCGCGAGCCCTCGTCGCTCACTCCAGTGGGAGGCCCAGGCTTTCTTGGAATGAGCCCTCACCCTTAGATGGCGACATTGCTTTTCGTTTGCTGGCCCCCCATTTGTGCCCCACTCTGACTGAAGTAGGTGCCCCTACCTGCTTTGGTCGGATGCCAACCCCCGAACCGGTTCCACCCATTATAAGAGAGGTGCTATACGGCACTTCCTGGCAGTCAGGTATGCTGAGGTTTTCCTGATCGGGGTGCGCGGAAGGACTGTGAGGGCATGCAGGGCCTGTAAGAGGATTGTAGGGTGCCTCTGAATGATTAAGCGTAGGTTGCTTCGAGAAAGTCCTGCATGGCCTGAGCGGATATCATGGGGTGCGTAGAAAAGGTCTGCCGTGTTCTGTGCTCCTGGCCCCCTTGTTTTCAAGCGCAGGCACGAATGTGGGATAGGTCGAGCGGTTCTACAAATATAGAGTTGTGATGTACAGGATCCTGGAAGCATACATCATGAGCATCGAGACAAGAACAGTTAGTTCGCTCGAAAGCTCACTACATGGCTATAGGGCAACGCCCTTCATCATTCAGACCCCTATAGCGCTGGTGACACCTACCGGCTAAATTTCAAAACACTCCTGCAACTGCCAGAACAGAAGCCACACAGCAGCACCGCTTGCTGTTGAGCAACCGGCCAATGTATGAGGTACAGGTCCAGGCATTTTCGACCTCTTTTTGAGTTGCATAGCGGCTCGTGCTTGGCATGCTTTGCAGACTATCGGAATGGCTTGTTCCTCAAGCCCAGTACTGCTGGCGGTTCTGGTGTGGTACCAGTGCAAGACATGAAGGAGGAAGCAGGAGTAGAAGGTAGCGTGTACCGAAGGCCGAAAGCTCAACCCCTTATTCGTAACACAGTAGCTTTCCAGCCTCCAAAAACCCATCAGCTCTCACAAACAGCGCTGAATCCTGGGCCGCTGGCCGAGTCTCTCCAGCGACTTCATGCACGCCTCCTGGGCCTTCTGGTAGCCCATCTCGTAAGGCGAGCCTGGGTTGACAAATTTAGAGCTAAGATTGCTTGAAGGAATTTGGAACCGCGTGCTGACATCGCAGGCTGCCAGGAGAGACCGTACCATAAAGAGCTAAAGCACAGATGCACCTAAATAATACAACAAGAATCCCAGCACAAGAAGGCCAAACAGCCTTTGTGCTTGCAAGCCAAACAGCCTTGGCATCCAAACATTTCCCAAGCCCAAGCCCTTATATGCGGGCTTGTCAATGCTCGAATTTGGAAACCCAAATGGCTGCCCAGCAACACTTGGAGCTCACAAAGGCACCTGCGCACTGGCAAGGAACTTCGGTTACAAGCACATTCGTAATGCTAGCATAAATTGCATTGGCTAGGAATATGATCGTCTTCGTTCGCCACGCCCAAATTTATACTTGCTGGCCTAGCTTTCCGTGTCCAAGCTCCGGGGGATGAGAAGAGTCTCCATAGCCAATAGTCAGCTTTGGACATCTCACGGAACATCAGAGGAGCGAGCAATGGTCACTTTTTTGGAAGTTGGACCTCTAGGTTTTAGTACCTGATTCTATGATTGTTGTCCTTTAGTCTTAGTTTCAAGGCTCCAGCAGCTCTGAACGTGGATGGGCCAAATCGCCGAACAGCAGAATATCATTCTACAACTTGATGGTCCCATGGCATTTACAACTTTACTCTGTCATAGACGTTGTGGGGACTTGGTAGGACTCACGTTCCGCTGATGGTACCTCCATGCTGAACATACTTGAAACCAAAAGGCAGCGCTGGGTTCACACCTCTTGCACCGAGGCTGTACAAATTCCACTGCCATCTTCATACTTCGCATCATGTTCACTCTTCTACCGAGCCAGTGAGCAGATCCACCGCGCCTGAATCCTCAGGCCAGTTTCGCAAGGCCCGCCCCACAGCCACCTCGTTCTTGTAGATGGAAGCCGTATCAATGAGCCTGTAGCCTGCAGCCATTCAGGGGCTTCAAAAGGCTCCAGCTCTTCTCAGTGGCTGTACATAGCAGTTTCCGACCCCTTCACCCCTGTGCTCCCCTAGGTGCGCAGAAGACGTCAGAGGACTCACGCTGCAAGGTTCCGCAAAAATGCCCGCCTGCTTCCAAAGCTTCGGCAATGGCACCCTCCTGAGAAATCATGTTCATGGACCAAAATCTTGCACCAGCTAGACTGGCCAGACAGACGGCCTAAAGCCCATGGATGATGTGTACATGGGCGGATGCAAGTGCCAAAGCATAGAAAGTTACAGTGGGAGCTTACGGCTTCGGATTTGCTGCCCTGCTGCAGATAGATCACAGTTCCTACCTTATCTCGCGCCAGGGCTTGCGTTCAGATCCGCCTCCTGCACCAGCACATAATATCCAAAGGGGAAAAATCGCCTCAGAAAAGAAGTCATGGCCCAAAGTCCATGCAGGAAGGGGCCCGGAAATGGCCATATCTGAACTTGAACCCCTCTCCAAACTCCCCTTGTCCTTGACAATTATTCATCTTGCATGCCCAGTTTCACAGGAGAGCGCTGAGCCATGAGCCTGCGCCACACTTGTGCTTACAGTTGGTAGGGGGCCCCTTTGAAAGGAGCTCATGGAAGGGTGATGCAGCGAAGAGTTCTGAACATGTGACGCCCTCTTATGTGCTCTCGCACGCAGGGAAGAATTGCATTCTGTTGGGGGGGAAGGGGAACTTGCTTCTTAGCAAAACCAATGGCCTGTCACTGTCCCCAGTTGCTTCTTTATTGCAATTTCAAACAAGAACACAACGCCCTCTAGCATTTTCCCATGATTATAGCTGCGGGGCGCAGGATTCAACGTTTAGGGTTTCGGCATTGCGCAATTCATGCTGCATGGCTTCAGGGGTAATCACTAGAGGGCTCCTGGTGGCGCCTTCTTTTGGCTAGGGTGCAGGTTTGGAGTATGATGTGGACTTTGCAACAGCAGTTATGACACAGCTGCAGATCGAGCCAGGATTGCAAACTCCAAAACCCAGGCTTGCCCTTGAATACCACAGCAAACTCCCAGTGAACGCACCTTGCTGGAGTTGAACTGTTTTTCTGTGACTGCCATGCCCCATGAAAATGAATCAGTTGTTCAAGTCGCAAACCTTAGAAGAAACACGGGCCCTAAACCCACGTAAAAACCACAAACCTCAAACCCTCAACCTTTACTCACCTGTCCCCTTTATCGAACGCCTGAAGCTGCCAGGTACCAAAGCCCAGCCGTGGAATTTCCAGACCGTTGTGGAGCCGAGCTGTGGCAGGCAGACCTGGGTCTGATCTCTACTGCTCTTGGACCCAAGTCATAGGGCTTTAGGTCGCAAATATCCAAACCCCATTTACTGTCTGGACCCTTAGGGTTGATTTGAGAGTCGTAACGGAGTCAGGGGCACAACGGGTTGGGAAGGGGGGTAGTTAGGGTGCGCATGGAAATGTAAAGGTTGATGTATTTAGGGCTCAAGGGTCTTGAGGTAGCCCGCGTCTCGGATAGAACTATTTTGGCCTTGTGTGGGAGCAGCATACTCGCGTAGTCCATGCCAAGCAAATGTCTTTGTTGAAGGAATTGAAGCAGATGAAATTTGTAAGCAAAAATCACAGTGGATATATCCTAACTTAGAAATGATGCTGATATATGATATCAAACATGTTTCGTCGGCAACAAAAAATGAAACCCATAGAAGCATGGAAAAAAATGAACTCATCTGTTGTTAGATTAAACATATCTATTCACTCGAAAAAACCATATGTATCCTGATGAGGAGGCGGGAGACGTAGTTAAGATAACCTGTAAAAAACATTATCGAAAAATGAAAGACATCAAATGGTAATAAAAACCACGCAAACCGTTCAAAACATCGAGAACATGTTAGGTCAAACGCTATTATCCATTCGGGTAGGGGGTATTTGCGCCAGGAGACGCTAAAGGTGTGAAAAACTCTTTACGTTAAGGCCTAATCCCGATGTTGTGGGATGTTTGTTGCGTTGTTGTTGTTGTTGTTGTTTATGCTTGTGTTTGTTTGTTATAATGTGCTTCCATATATGTTTGTAACAGGTTCTATAAATGAGACGTGTCATACATGTCGTGAAAGTTTCTGAAAAACCGTGGCTTTTACAGCAAGTGTATTCCTGATTTGTGTGTTTAATTTTGCGGTTTATCGGCAAGGTTAAGCATATTTCCCTTGATTTATTTATTTAGCGTTCTTGCCCGCCAAAAAACACAGCAAACCGGGCACAAACAAGAAACCATAAACCCCTCCTAAGACAAATAAAAACAACACCCCGAGGCCATCGCAACATTTCTGCTGTTAAGCAGTCGAAACTCAAAACCTCATGCCCTAGGGCTTCGGGACCCTGGCATGTGACCTGCACGACGAACAAAGGTGTGGTTTGAAGTCAAGGCAACACCCCACACCCTGAAGCCTAGACCTTAATCTTCAACACGAAGCCGTAAAACCCGACAACTGAACTTGAAACTTAAACTTTAAAACTGAGCAAAAGGAAACCTCAACCTTCAACATCAAACAAACCCGAAACCCCAAACCTCAAAACCTAAACCTTTAACTTTGAAACCCTACGCCTACACCCTCACCTTGCCCTTAATGTGTCTGAGTGCTCCAAATGTGGCACAACCCCGGTGGTTGGAAACACACGCACTGTGGGAAGGGTCCATCGAAACCCATGTCAAGCCGCGATCAGCGCTTGTGCTACATTCAAACCTGGAGAAACAATGCTGCAAGTTGTGAACTTAGAAAACTAACAAGTCAATATTATGATAGGAGCAAGCGCAATCTCATGACCACAAGCCCAAGTCCCCAGTTGCGCAGCAGACGACGTGGTGGTTTTTGGACAAACCAAACTTATTCAATCACGCAATCAGAGTGCCACTTCCTAACAAAAACCACCTGAAAACTGGGCTTTGGCACGGAAGACCCATATCTGTTTCACGGGTTCGTACGGGTTGAAAAAGGATGGGCGAAACCACGTTTGTCCGAAACTATGGGCTCGGATGTGTAGCTTAACTTATGGGGGTCGGATGGGTTTTGGACGGGTAGACAGTAGAACCGATGCCAAGTCATATTATAGACATGGTCAGACTTTGCGAAAAACGAAGTTTCCGAATTTGCGGGGCCAAGCATTCCGAAAACTGGCTGGAAGTAAACCTTTGTGGAACTGGCAGTGCTGAAGCGAAAGGCGGTTAGATGTGCTACGGATTGCTTGGCGGGAGTTTCTGGATTGCTACTTGGTTTGTGTGGGCTGCATCATGAATAATGACAAATCCCTTGGTTCACTGTCATCGGCTTGTTTCTCAATTTCGTCATACTGCAATAGGAGAAACCGGTATTCTGGAGAAGAGCTGGGTTTTTCATCCTTACACACTACAGCCGGGCTATTTCCGCATGGCCGATTTTTGTTTTCGACGCCCGAGGCAAACCCGAAACTCAGCCGAGCAGTGGATCGCTGAAGTCGTTGGAGTTGCTGATGACGTGCCGTGGAATTATCACAAGGTGTGTGCTTGTGATTGGGGCAGGTTGGTCTTAAAGTTGAAAGGGTTTTCATACGTGTTTTTATGCTTGGGATTTGCAGGCGATACGTGGTTGTTCACGACACCTGACAAAATCTTGCAACGAACATCGGTTCGGCACTGCAGCTTCCCCAAGTTAAGCATGCAAGCTCTATTGCAAAGCTTGCCGACTGAGCTCGCTGTCTCTTAGCCCAGGCATCTGCAGCATTTGCAAGGCGGATGGGCGACTCCACTGCTTGGAAAGCGCTTGGAAGAATTCTTGAGCGCCAGCTGACACATATGGCGGAGTGTCAAACGAACAACCCACGATGCGGCGCTTGATCGCGGTTTCATGGATGGTGCTGCGAAAGGTACCTGGCCCGTGAGACCTTCAAAGCTGGTGACGCCCGCGGACCAAATGTCAGACGCGCGGTCATGGATCGCGGTGCTTATGCGCTCAGGCGAGCCGAAGCCCAGACCTCCTCCGCGCAAGTGCCTCCTAGATGGCGCCACTCTGCAAATTTGAAGTCTACAGGAATGGCAGCACCGCTTGAAATCATTACGTTACCGGCTTTCCATCCCCATGCACCACCCCTGTTGTGTGGCTAGCCCAAGGGCTCCTGAGGACATCGCGCATGACGCATCGAAGCCATCCTTCTGATAGGTCGTGGCTGCTACCCATACATTCAAGCAGGCCGCCAAGAAGACAAGGCAAAAGCAAACATGCATGTTTTTCGTTGCAGGAAGTCAGCTTCGCAACGTGGGGATACGCAAGGTGGCTCAAGTGTTCAAGGAAGAACGGCTCCTTGTGGAACGCCTCCATCGCTGGCAGACGTCATTGGCAACTTGATGCATGGCATGCCAAACTTTGGCGAACCTGCCTGACCCAAGCTGTTCTTGAACCAAGAAACCGCTCAGAGTCCAATTGTTGCGAGGTCGCTGCGGAGGCTTCTGTGGAGCTGCTCCTTTCGCTTCGAAAGCCCAGCAGCTTGAACCTCTGTTTGCGCTTGCATGACCGTTCACGTCACAAAGAGTGAGACCCCAGCACGGCCCAGCTCCAGTTGCAAGCGTCGTTTTTCTTCCATGAGCGGTTGGTTGCGTGCTAACAACGCCCAGTTTTCTTTTGACGGTGACTCCGCCAGCTTTTCCAAGTCTCAATTGTTGCGGTTGAAGCTCGGCCTTAACCACTCAGTGACCCAGCTTTGGCATCCGCAAGCTACATCTTTGGCACCGTCGGTCTTGGTGAAGCGCGAGAAATGCTTCTGCCCTCAAATCAAGAATGCGCCAAGCGCCCGCGTACCGTTGAGTCCAGCTGTCAAACATTGTTCCCCTAATTTCAGCTTTGGCAAGCACAATTAGTACAAGAATGACAGCCCAGCTGGCACACTTTGTGTAGCACGGCACTGCCTAGAACTTTGAAACTCCTTGCTGTCGCTTTCTTGCATATTCGCGGATTCGGACCGAGATGCATACATAAGTATGGGCCGTTTCAACAGTACTATTGTCGAAATTGCGTCGGTATCGTCATCGAACGATGCTAAATCGCCAACAGCCAAAAAATTGAATGGGGGGAGACTGGGGGAGCAGTCATAAGGGGTGATGCAGAAGGGCTGGATGGAGAGGGTGGGAGGGCTGGA